AGACACAGAATCCGAAGCAGGCTCCAGGCTCTGAGCTGTCAGTAAAGAGCCCGATGTGGGGCTTGAACTCACAAGCTGTGAGATCATGACCTGAGCCGAAGTCTGATGCTTAACCAACTAAGCCACCCAGGTGCCCCACCCCACTTTTTTTAGAGAGACAGAGAGAGCTCAAGCAGGGGAGAGGGACAGAGAGAGAGAGAGAGAGAGAGAGAGAGAGAGAATCTCAAGCAGGCTTCATGCTCAGTGTGGAGCATGGAGCATTGTGCAGGGCTCAATACCATGATCTTGTGATTATGACCTGAGCCAAAATCAAGAGTTGGACACTTGACTGAGCCACCCAGGCACCCCATCACAATGGTTTTTTAACTTACTTTCTTCTAATGTCTAATGATGCTTGATATCTTTTCATGTGCTTATTTGCCTTCTGTATATCCTCAATGGTAAAATATATGTTCATGCATCTTGCACATTTGCTAATTGAATGGTTCCATTTGTATGTCTTTTTTAATTATTGAATTTTAAGCGTTCTATATTCTAGATACTAGTCCTTTGTGAGATACATGGCTTGAAAATATGTTCTCTCAGTCATCTAGGAGATTTTTTTCTTCTTAACGGGGTCTTCCATAGAGCCAAAGTTTTTAATTTTCATGAGTTCCAATTTATCAACTTTTCCCTTTCATTGATTCCTTTGGTGTCATATCCACGAATTCTTTACCTAGACCTAGGTCCGGAAAATTTTCTCCTCAGACTTATAAAAGTTTTATAAGTCTGGTTTGCATTTAAGTCCATGATCTATCTATCTTGAGTTAATTTTTGGACCAGGTGTGTGGTTTAGGTTGGCATTCATATTTATAGCTATGGGGTGTCCAATTGTTCCTGCACCATTTGCTGAAAAGGTTATCCTTCCTCCACTATGTTGTCTTTGTGTTTCAGTTGAGCATATTTGCATGATATCTATTCTGTCTCACTGATCTATGTATCTATTCCTTCACCAATACATTGTCTTTATTATGCAGCTCTATAGCAAGCCTTAGTATTGGGTACAGTGATTCTTCCCAGTTTTTCTTTTTACAGGTTTTAGGTTTTCAGGGCCTGTGACTTTCCATATAAATTTCAGAATAAGTTTATCTATGTCACCAAAAATCTTTGCTGGGGTTTTGAAAGGAATTGCCTTAAACCTATGGCTCAATCTGGGGAGAATGACCACCATCTTTATTCTGTTGAGTCTCCTAATCTACAAACAAGGTATGTCTCCCATTCATTTAGACTTTCATGGATTTTTTTTCATCAGTGTTTTAGAATTTTCAGCGTACAGATCATGTTTTGTTAGGTTTATACCTATGTATTTCATTTTTCTTTGAGCAATTACTGTAAATGATGTTATTTTCTGAATTTTTTTCTACATGTTCATTGTTCATCCTTCTATTTTAAAATCCTCTAGGGGCGCCTGGGTGGCGCAGTCGGTTGGGCGTCCGACTTCAGCCAGGTCACGATCTCACGGTCTGTGAGTTCGAGCCCCACGTCGGGCTCTGGGCTGATGGCTCAGAGCCTGGAGCCTGTTTCCGGTTCTGTGTCTCCCTCTCTCTCTGCCCCTCCCCCATTCATGCTCTGTCTCTCTCTGTCCCAAAAATAAATAAACGTTGAAAAAAAAAATTTTTTTTTAAATAAAATCCTCTGAATCACTTTGCTTGGGGTATACATTTTGTATATAACACTCAGATTTTGTTTTGTGGTTCAATCTGAAACACATAGTTCTTTTATTAGTTAAATATTAAGTATTCACACTCATTAATGAGTTATTTGGTTTTTGAGCATATCATTATTTTCAGATACACTTCTTTTATAGATTTAATTTTCTTCAAAATGTGGTCTGTGCTTCCTTCACTTTTTGTGTTTGTATTTCTTAAAGTAAGTTGGAAAGTTTGCATTTTTTCTATTGAATGCATTTATAATGATACCTTTATACCTTTAATTCTCTCTTTCTATAGATGGGTCCAATGACTTCCTATTATGAGAATAATTAAATCAGCACTAGAGTATTTCTCCTCACTTTTCTTCTCTTCCACCACCTGATTTTATATTTATGTTTTGTAGTATTTATACTTTGTATTTGCTAGAAAAGTATGTAGCTGCCTATAATAGAAAACTAACGCTGTCTTTAAAATTAAGGCTTTATTTTTTTCATATAACAAGAATTCTGGAAGGAGGTCATTCTTGGCATTGTTTCACCAGCTCAACAATGTCATTAAGGACTTAAGCTTTTTTCTACATTTCTGCTATGCCATCCTCAGATGCTGGCTTCTGACTTCGTGCTTGTCTCTTCGTGTTTCTAACATGACCTGCTGCAGCTCTAGCCATCACACTATCATTTAAGGCAAAATGAAAAAACTGGGAGAAGCGCCAGGAGTGTTTGTAAAGCAAATACATATTCTCTGTAACTCCACAACATATTTCCTCTGATGTCTCATCAGCCACAAATATGTAATATGATCATCTCTAGCTATAGAGGACGCTGGAATGTGACTAATTAGGTGGTATGTTACTATTTAAATAAGTTTTCTGTTCTTATAAGAAAACTCTAGTTTTCTTCACATAGATCCTTCACATTTGTGTTTATTCTTATGTATTTTCTTTATTGTTATAAGCTTTATTGCTACATTTTCCCACTGGTTAGATGGCTAATTTTTAATTTAGATATTGGTTTTTGAATGTTGACTATATCGTTTTTATTCATGACACTAAAATTTTTAATTTAGTTCTGTTAGTAAATTGGGATAGTGAGGGGGAAGAGAAGGATGGAACCACTGATACTCTGGAATGAGGCATCAGGACTGTCTCTGCCTTAGACCCTACTGCAAAGGCAGGCCCTTTGAGCTAGCTTAGCCACTCAGGAGGGTCCAAAGAGGAGAGTGGTGGAGCAAATACCTTCTCTAGGGGTAGAAGAACTATAGCACTTTCCCACAACAGAAGGATGAGAAAGAAAAGCATCACAGGTTAATACTGTGTTTAATACTGTTGTTTTCATCTACTCTCAGAAGAAGAACTTACAGAACAGCTTTTCAAAATACTCCAAAGAGCAAATGTAACAGAAAAGGAAATAAACCCTTCCTTTAAAGCTAGATGATGGACCTTTTCTAAAACCTAGAGTTTTATACAAGGTTTTCAAATAATTAGCTGAGCCCTTAAGAAAACCCAGAGGTGATATTGGGTATAAAGTTTGAAAAAAGGTGAAATTTCCATGTGTAAGAAAATGTGGAAAGGAATGGTTATTACTCAAAAAAAGAATGGAGTAGCAAAAAGTAAAAGAGGACAGAGGAAAGAAAGGAGAAAGGAAAGCCAAGCATTTATGACAAGAGGCTAGAGTCCCACGAACAAAAATGGCTGATTAAATTTTGTTTTTCCTTTCTACCTTTTAATAACAGGCGCTGTAATATTATTCGGTTTACAGAACCTTTGGGAAAGTCAGCTTTACACTAAAGACTTGTTCGGGGATTCTTCTCCTAGATCAAGTTCTAGTTATCATTTTTCTTTTTCCAGATTGAGCTCGTTCATGTTTTACCAATTCCAGGGGCTTTCCTTTAAGCCCCTAGACTGAATTGGGCTGAGACTTCTGTGTGCTATGAGAATTCCAGAAACCTGTTTTTTACCCTTTACTCTTATTGTCTCTATCCCCCTCTACACAGTGAACTACTTATTAATGTTCAATAACTCTTTTATAATTTTTTGATGGATGGATGATGCATGGGAAGACAGGTATGAATACAAGAAAAAGCAGGTTACAGGTTTCCAAACCAGTCAAACGTTGGATACTTTCACGGTTGTAGACAAAATTGTAATGGAGATGAAGTTTGTCTTTACCAGTGTCCCACATTTCTTCTTACTGTTTCAGTATGCCTGCCCCCCAGGTAATCAGCCCCTTCATCCTGACGGAAAGCTCACAAAATTCTCCCCCCCCACTACACCTTCCCTTTGCAAAGTTTCTTCTTTCTCCTCTGTCATCTATCAAAGCATCTGCTTAGTCACATTTGGCTATGTAATTATCCAGTTGATTTAAGTAACACACATTAAAGTATGGCCAAAATTTTAACTATCCTCTTAGAGAATTTGTACTTTAAGGCAGGCATCTGTTAATTCATTATGCTGGGAGGAATATCTTTTAATGCTTCCCGCCCTGTTCATCTTCTTCTCTCTCCTGGTTCCTTATCTAATGTTCCAGAAAGTGAAATATGTGGAATGGAGATGGTATCATTTATTGAAGCCACTTTTAAAGATGACAAAATTAAGGGTCATAAAATTTGACTGACTAGCTAGAGGTGCAAGCAGCCAGCAATAGTGACTATTTAAGGAGTTAAGAGCGGATTTTCATGGTGAACTACTAATATTTCCAACCAAAAAACTAGCTTCCAGTTTCAAAGGCCACAATCTCTTTTGTGAAACTGTTTAAGGCCTCACTGAAATTCCCTGAGTCTATGTGGTAGACTCTGTCAGAGAGTCTCAGGCCTTTTGCCTTTCTCTTTTTTTCTTCCTTTCTAGTTCTTCCAAATAGTTAAAAACAGTGGGATTCAGCTACATTTTTAAATGAGGTATCTAAATAAAAAAATAAGGAGTTGCCAAAAGTAGCCTTGGAGGTAGAGAACTGAATTTAGTTCCTCTGACTAGACTAAGTTACTTGCTAAAATAATCTGGGGTCATACGAGCCAATGGCCAAAGGAATAATTTCTCCATTGTTTATCATTCATGGCCATAAAGAGCACTAGAGGAAATCTCAGAGTCTAGCTGGTCAATGAAGGATGTTAGGCCAGAGAAAGTTAAATGCTTGCCAAAAGTCAGCCTAATGAATTAGAGAAGTAAGGACCAAAAATGAGAGTTTGAATTTCCAAACTGAAAGTTCTTTCAGTCCCACTGAGATGTGCCATTGTGTGGTCATGGAAATCTGGAAAGGTTTGGTGGCCTGGGCATCTCATCTCCTGCCAACCTTTCCCAGTCACAGCACACAACACTAACATGGAAACTTCCTTTAATAAGCTTTGCATTTCTTTCCTTGTGAGCCTTACGATATTGGTGCCTTTGCCCTAACCCATACAAATGGCTTGCTTTCATCCATAATACCACTTGCTCCGTGAAGGAGGTGTAATCCAGGGTGGGAGGGTGGGGGGTGGGGCGGTTCAAAAGAATAGTCATACTATTATATCAGAATTACTTCTGATACTCCTACCACACTTCTTACAGACCCAACAAAACATCTTTAAGCCTTCTAGGGTTTGTTTGTTTGCTTGTTTGTTTTTAATATCTCTGCTCTCACTACCTTGTATCTAAGATTAATTTTTTGTTTTGTCATCCTCATTTTTCTCAGCTGAATCTCTGTCCTCATAATTCCAGTTTTTGGTCATTTTGTTTTCATTACCCTGAAGGCTATTGCTTGACATATCATCAGCCACACTCCCAATTATCTCTGCCTCAGGACTTGGCTCTACTGTGTCAATTGGTTCTATCTCAGTAGCTAACCTTGTAGTTATTAACCCATCTTTTATTGCTGATTCACTTCCTATCTCTGGCTCTGTGTGGGTCCCTGACTCAGCCTGGACCTCTGGTTCAACCTGACTTTCTAGCACTTTTTGGGTTACTGTCTTTGTCTGAGTCCCTTTCTCTGTGTAGACACTTGATTGTGCCACTGAACCTGACTGCCTTTCTGGTGCCTGATTCATCCACGTAGAAACACCTACATTTGTTTCAGTTAGTCCACGGTCTACTCTGGCCGTATTTCCTATTCTTGTCCTTGTTATAGGAATCACAAGGAGATTTTGATCTGGAGAAGTAGCCCGAGAACTTATGTGATTGAGTCCAGAGAGGAACCCTAGAGAAAAAGAAAAGGTCAGGGTCAGTGTTGTGGATTAGTAATAGATAAAATCTTAAGTCATCAAACACCCCTGAGGCACTGGCTTAATTATAATAGAATTTGCTTTACAATACATTTCTGAATATCCTGTTCATTATCTTTAAGGAGCTGAGATTCAAAACATTGATCCCAGCTTTTCTGTAGTACAGTATTTCCCAAGGGGTATGCAAGCCAATTCATTGGGGCACAGGCAGAAAATAGTGGTTTATTTTTGTATTTTTAGCAAATTTTGTTTTCAGTTCCATTTTTGAGTATATTTTACACTGTAATAAATATATGAATGATATAATACATGTACATATTTTATAAATAAATGTGTCTTTTCAGAATGCTTGCTGAAAAGTGTTTTACTAATAGGGTGTGTGATGCAATGGTTTGAAGACCATTGTTAATTAATGAATAAAAATAAGTATGTGGCTTAGCAGGATTAAAGGTGAAATGTTACACAGGCAAAACTCCTATATTATATCTCTGCTTTATGTTAGTAATATTACAGAGGAACTTATGTCATATGTTGAAGCTTTATTTTGGAGATCCATTAAGGTGGAGAGGTTATTTAATATAATAGAAGGAGAGGGGAATTTAAGAGATGTCTTCTGGAAGGACAGAAGAACTATTCATAGCTCAGTTAATGTCTTTTCCTTCTTTACTTCCTGAATCTTACTCCTACCTGTGTAGGGACAAGTATCATTTTAGAAAAAAAAAAAAAAGTTTTCAATTGGAGGGACTTGCTATTAAGAATTGTTCACTGACATAGAAATAACTCTTGTAGAGCCCTTCCAAATTATGAGATTCTAATATGTCAAACATACAACCAAAAGAAAGCAAAAGAGAGGGGACCAACCATGTAGAAATTTCTTTTCTGTGCCTTCACTGTTTAACAGGAGGATTGACTCACCAACTGTCATGTAGAAGATACTGCCCCACCAATTGAGGCGGTAGGCTAATAGGAAATGGGGCTCTAAGACATTCCTACTGTACAATTTCACTTGCATCAGGTACAAAATGAGGCAGAGGAGTAGGCAGGTGCCTGGGATCAGAATGAAAGCTATCACTACCCATCATAACCCTCCTTCTGCCATCCCTCCCATTCCACCCTCTTCCCTCTCTTTGCACTTCCTTGTCACCCTCAACCATCTCAATTATGCCATGGAGGCCTATTACATGGCAGTGTCATGGGAAGACCCATTTGGCAATTAATTAGAATGAGAGAACGAAGAACTTCTGCTTTGGCTGGAATAAGGTTATTAAGGTGGAGACTATAAATAAGATCACTAGAACAGGTACTAGCTACCTACATTGAAATTTGTCTTAGTGCCACAAGGGCCTCCAGCCTATGATATCTCCTCTACTAGTCCATCAGATAACAACTTCTAGAGATGTTTCCATTGGATTAGGCATAGTTTCTTCAGGGTCCCCTCTTTAAAGGCAATAGCCCCATAAGGAGTAAAAGTTTACCAAAAGCTTTCTTCCCTATGGGAAGAGACACTGTCCTATGATGGCAGTGTTCACCTGAGGTAGGGAATGACTTGGTAAAATAAGGAGAAATGGCCCAGAAGGGGAAGACGTACAGGGACTCCAGGGACAAACTTTTCCAACCTCATCATTTTGTACCTGAGATGAAAGAGAAGATGGACAGGCCCAGATCTATGTGGGTTTTGTCTCCTGGCCCTTTGGTGAGAAACGTGCTGAGCCATATAATGATAATGAGGATGATGAAGGCAGAGATGAGGAAGAAGGCCCTGGAGTATTGGAGGTAGTCTGCCAGGAGAAGTGGAAAAGGAGAGGCTTGGCTGGAGAAGAGGTGACCTGCCCTCTGATAAGGCTAGACAGGGTCTAGGGAAGGGACTGAAGGGCGGAGGAGGACAGAATTAGCACTTGTCTTACATCTAATGGAGTCAGAGTAAGGAGCCACCAAGTGGGTGGCCTCATAGGCACCAGTAAGGACCCTCTTTCCATCTCCTCATTGACATGTGGAATTCCTTTAACAAGGAAAGAAATAATTTATTCCACAATGAGAGAAGAGTTGAAATTATAACCTTGAGAGGCATATTATGAGGTAACTTTCATATTAAGGTGCAAATTACTACTATCCCCCCCCCCCCCCGGGAAGTTGTGAGTGCAGAGGAAGGAAAAAGAACAAAGTCACTAGGCATTAGCTTCCAATAATTAAGGAGCTGTGGCTTTGAAGTCATTGGAGAAGTCTAGTGAAGACAAACTGGGATAAATTTACCCTGTTTGGAGGAGCTGTCCTTACATGCTTGTGAATCGGGAGAAAAGAAGGGGTAGAGTTGTGGGAAGGAGAAAGGGAGAGAGGCAAGCTGTAGGGGATCTGAGCAGATCTACCAAAGGAGGGGGCTCTAGGCTCTGGAAGGCACTCACAGGGTGCTTTTGGCACGTGGCTCCAGCAGAGATGATGGTGGCACACAGTCCAGAGCCCCGCAAAGAGTTTCTTCTTGTCTTTCATTACCATGAACCGCACCCAATGTAAAGGGGAAAAGCACATCAGCAGGACAAAGATAAAGCCCATGAGGGCAGCACAGAACATGCGAATGTAGCTTTGGGTCCTCTCCAGAAGCTGTCGCTGGTGTGGTGACATAGAAGAGAAGTGGTACATGCGGTAGGGGAGAATTGGCTGTGGTGGGGAAGGGAGGAGGACATCATGAAAGGAATGTCATCTCAGGCATCTCCATCTCCACTCACAGAAAAGATAAACCCTGGGTCCTCTACTGGATGGGAACTCCTCCTCCCTCCACACTTCAGGGTCTTTTGCTCCAGAGCCTCCCACAACTTGTAAATATATTCCTTTTTAACTGTCCCCCATTAAAAAAAAGTTGGAATGATCTTTGCCTCTCCTGCCTTGACATTTCCCCCATGCCATACACAAGCTGCTTCCTGCAAAAGGACCCCACCACTACCTAGCTTACAAAGGCTCCCTCACCCTATATGTTGGGTAACCCAGGATGCTGGAATTTTAAACCCTGTGTAAGGGCATGGCATTTCCTTCCCTTCTCTCCATCCTAGTTTCTGGCTCATTGCTCTTCTCAACTGCCATAGAACCTAACCCACTCTGACCTAACACACTTTCCTGCCCCTCCCCCACCCCAGGAAACAGAACTAACAGGAAGTGTACAGTGTCTCTGCCTCATTTGCCAGATCTAGTCCAATCCCTTCCTCCAATCCAGATATCTGTTGAGTTTCAAACACCTAGCAAACTGCCTGACAAATCCAGGAGGTCTTCGAGAGCTCTTTTCTTTTCATCCTACACCCCCTTCCTATGTCCCTTTTTTGTTTCCCACCATTCAATCATACCATATCCTGCCAATCCCAACTCTTTGATGCTTTCAAGTCCATTTTGTTTTTCTGTTTCCTTTTTCTTAGAACATCTTGTTATCATCTCTGTCCTAGATTGCTATAACAGCCTTTTACCTGTTACTTCTGCTATAAGGCTTCAGTTTATTCTTGACAAATTTGCCTCTAAGATGCAAATCTGATGTGTCTCTCCTCTGTTCTGATTGCACTCCACTGCTATGAGGTAAAGTCCTAATTTCTTAGCATGAATTAGTTAAACCCAGCAAGATTAGGCTTCTGCTCCCTATATGACCTCATTCAACCATTCAATACCTCCTCTGTGCCAGGTGTTGTGTTAGGTACTGAGGGTGTAGTGATGTGTTGGATATCTTTCATATGTCCCTTTGGATCCAACTTTTCATCCTTGTCCTTGTTCAAGAAGGCTGACTGATATGGACTACATCAATGGGTTCCCTTGCCATCCAGTCTCTGATTAGGTTTAACCAATGGTAGATATGGGCAGAAGATCAGAGGTCCAGAGATCTGTGTGTTTATTCCCTGGTTCTCTCCTTACCAGATTACAGAGAGTTGTCTGTGTTCTTTTACCTAAAGTAGAGCTCCTCACCGGCAACCTTCTCCATAGAGCCACCCTTTCTGTTAACTGCTCCTTTCACTTATGTGATCAGGCTTAGGAGTCATAATGACTTTTCACTGATGGTTTCCCCAAATCCTTCTCAGTTCAAAGGGGACTTTATAAATAGTTCCTTAACTCTCCCTATTAACTAGTTTGAGCAAGCCATCTGTTTCCTGCTGAACATGGTCCTTATTGTCATGAGGTAGAAAGCCGAGTAACGTTTAGGCTCATTCTCTTCCTCCATGTTATCTTGTGCTCCAGACAACTTTATTTTTCTTGCAGTTTCTTAAACCCATCTTGGTCCTTCCTTTGCACATGGTGCAAATGGTATTTACCTTGCACATGGTATCTATCACACTTCCCACTTTATCTTTGTCTGAGTTAATATTAGTCAAGATTCACTTTAATCTAACCCTTTTGGGGAAGCCTTCTCTGAATTCAACCCTCAGTCCCAGACTTTGTGATCCTGCAGCAGCTTATGCTTACTTCTTTCATAACCTTTATACATAGTATTGTAATTTGTCTATACTTCCTTTTGGTCTGTGAACTTCAGCAGCAAGGAGTTATCCTTGTATACTCAATGTCTAGCAGAGTGCTTGGAATATAATGATTCAGGAAATGCTTATTGATTGAGTGAAACTAAAAAAGGTAAAAAAAAAAATAGTGGACTTCTAGTTTCTAGTGTGGCATGCAAGGAACTTGGAGGTGGCCACTCCATTATAACAACAAGTAGAAAGCTAAGCAAACTGAAAAATCAACAACTCTTCTTAGGTTCGTCAGAGAAATGAGATCATAAGGCAAACTGTGGCTCTTAAAATTTGAGAGATAGAAAGACAAATACAGAGAATCACAACTTACTAGTATATAAACCCCTGCAAGAACCAATATGAGGATAGGAAATTTGAACTGTAGTTGATGAATTGCTGGAGGTTCAGGGTGGACAGATCTGAGAGATTACAAACTCTGGGGGTATCCAATCTTAGGGACATCCTTACAATTTAGTGAGTTTTACCTCCAGCCCACCTTGATCAGGTTTTCACAGTGAATATCAGAGAAAAGTCCCCTTATACTTCTGGAAGAAGGAGGAGAAAAGGAACCATTTTGAAACATGCCAGAACATTCTGTTCATCTTAACAAGGCCTTCCCTAAAGAGAAACTGTCTTACCAGAACCTAAACTATTGGAGTTTTATCAGAGCTTAACCAATCTGGGGAGAAGGAAATACTCAACTCCAGCATACTGTAACATTTCGTGGTATACTCACTCTCCCATCCTGTCCCACCTAAGGAGGGGAAACTCAGAGGTACCTGTGAATTTCACAGAAGCTTAGATCAGGAACAAGCTAAGAATGTCCTTTCTCGCCACTCATTTTCAACATCATACTGGAATGTAATAAGACAAGAAAAGGAAATAAAATGTATAAACATTGAGAAGGAAGAAATAAGACTGTCTTTGTTTACAAATGGCATGATTGTGTAGAGAGTACAAATGAACTGACAACAACAGCAAAAATTCTTAAAACAATAAGTGATTATAGAAAGGTTAATATACAAAAGTCAGTCATTTTATGTGGTGCCTCACTGGCTTAGTGAGTAGAGCATGCAACTCTTGATCTCAGGGTTGTGAGTTTGAGTCCCACAATGGGTGTAGAGATTACTTTAAAAAAAAAAGTCAATCATTTTCCTATATGCCAGTAATGAATGAGTAGAATTTGAAATTAAAAACACAATATAATTTCCCCAAAATGAAACACTTGAGTAAGAGCTAACAAAATATGTACAAGATCTATATAAGGAAAAATACAAAACTCTAATTAAAAAAACCCAAAGGGTTAAATAAATGGAAAGATATTCCTTGTTCTTGTGTAGCAAGACTCAGTATTGTCAAGATGTCAGTTCTTCCCAACTTGATTTATAGATTCAATACAATCCCAATCAAAATCCCAGCGAGTTATTTTGTGGACACCAACAAACTGATTTTAGTGTATATCAGGCAAAAAAAAAAAAAAAAAAAAAAAAAGACAAAAAAACCCCCCACCTAGAATAGCCAACACATTATCGAAAGAAAAGAACAAGGTCAAAGGACTGACACTACCCAACTTCAAGACTTACTATATAGCTATGGTAATCAGGACAGTTGGTAGTGGAGAAAGAATAGATCAACAGAAAAGAACAGAGAACCCGGAAATAGACTCACATAAATATGGTCATCTGATCTTTGATACAGGACAAAGACAATACAATGGAGCAAAGATAGTTTTTTTCAACAAATGATGCTGGAACACCTGGACATCCACATACAAAACAATGAATCTAGATGCAGACCTAACACCCTTCCCAAAAGTTAACTCAAAATGGGTTATAGACCTAAACAAAACACAAAACTATAAAACTCATAGAAGAAAACATAGGAGAAAATAGGTAACACTGGAGTATGGCAATGATTTTTTAAATACAACACCAAAAACACAAGCCATAAAAGAAATAATTGATAAACTGACTTCATTAAAATTAAAAACTTCTGCTCTGCAAAGACATGGTCAAAAAATATGTGAAGACAAGCCTCAGACTGGGAGAATATATTTGCAAATGACACATCTGATAAAGGACTGTTATCCAAAATATACAAAGAACCCTTACAACTAAGAAATAAGAAAACAAATAACCTGATTTAAAAATGGAGGAAAGACCTGGGGCGCCTGGGTGGCTCAGTCGGTTGGGCCTCCAACTTCAGCTCAGGTCACCATCTCACGGTCCATGGGTTCGAGCCCCGCGTGGGCTCTGGGCTGATGGCTCAGAGCCTGGAGCCTGTTTCCGATTCTGTGTCTCCCTCTCTCTCTGACCCTCCCCCGTTCATGCTCTGTCTCTCTCTGTCTCAAAAATAAATAAACTTAAGAAAAAAAAATTTTTTTTTTAAAAATAAAAATAAAAATGGAGGAAAGGCCTGAAAATCACTCTCCAGAGGAATGTAACAGAGATCAGAGGTGCTACAATGTATCAAACGATGTCCAGCAGTCAACAAAAAAATGACTAAACCTGTGAAGAAACAGGAAAATATAATCCAGATTCAAGAAAAAAGGCAGTCAAGAGTAACTGACCTCAAGATGATCCAGATGTTGTAATGATCACAAAAGGACTTTAAAACAGCCATTATAAATTTTTATAAGGACTGAAGAGAAGATAAATGCATAATGAATGAACAGATACGGGATCTCAACAAAGATAGAGAAAATATTAAGAGAAAAACTAAATGAAATTCTGGAACTGAAAAATACAATAACTAAAATTAAAAATTCACTGTATGGATTTAATAGTAAATTGGAGAAAGTGGGGAAGAAACAGTCAGTGAACGTGAATGTAAGTTAACGGAAATTGGCCAATCTGAAGAACAGAGAGAAAAAAATGGAAGAAAAATAAAGTCTCAAATTCCAATTGGACCATAAAAAGGTGAAATTAGAGTCCTGGAATAAATTGAGAATGGGGCAGAAAAATAGCAGCTGCAAACTTAGCAAATTTTATGAAAGATATTGATGTATGGGTCCAAAAGCTGAAAGAAACCAAAAAGGATAAATACAAAAATCACACCTAAACATATCATAAATTGCTGAATCCAAAGATAAAATCTTAAAAGCAGCCAGAGTAAAGCTACATGTGACAGAAGGTCGATGATGTATATCTGATTTCTCATCAGAAATAATGATAGCCCAGAAGGCAATGGAATGACTTTTTCAAATATATATAATTGACATATAACACTGTGTTAGTTTTAGGTATACAACATAATTATTTGATACATGAATATATTGTAAATGATTACCACATTAAGTTTAGTTAACATCCATTGCCATACATAGTTATGCTTCTTTTCTTGTGATGAAAACTTTTAAGATTTATCCCCTTAGCAATCTTGAAATACAGAATACAGTATTGTTAACTATAGTCACCATGCTGTACATTACATCCCACAACTTATTTATTTTGTGACTAAAAGTTTGTGCCTTTTGACCACTTTCAGCCATTTCACTGATCCTCCACCTCCCACCAATCTGTTCCTGTGTCTGTAAGTTGAGTTTTTAAAAAAAATCCACATATAAGTGGGAGAAAAGATTTGCAAAATATAGCTGACAAAGAACTTGCATCCAAAATATACAAAGCACTCGTACAACTAATAATGAGATAAACAGCTTAGTTTTAAAAATGAACAGAAGAATAACCATACTTTACAAAGGTAGATATGCAAAGGGAAAATGTAAATGGCATCAAAGAAATGCAAATTAAAACGACAGTGAGATACTGTTTTATGCT